CTTCACTCACTTTCTTTCGTTCTTGTCTTTCTTACCTTTCAAATGAACTCTATTTCTAACTGTGTTGCCTCTAAGTCAGTGCATTGGCTCTACTTCTTCTGCGTCCTGCCCCCAAGCCACCTATGTACATACCATATCCCGGTGCGGATAACCGAACTCGAAACTCCGATAAGTGTGCTGTTGTTGTTGCCTAAATATTTGATGATGATTATGAAAAATGATGTTTGCTTTGAATTTTGACAGCATTTCATTGTACCATTAGTAAAACTGTAACGAAAGCACTCATTATTATGGGCATTCACTGAATTCACTCTCACTGCAGCTGTCTCTGTCTATACTCTCATACAAGTTCATATGTAGTAGAGGGTACACAATGCAATGTGGGGTTACAAGTGCTTTCGCGCACTCTCGCCATGTGAATGGAGTTTTCTACGCAATTGGAAATGTTTAAAGAAGACATTAGAAATTCGTTTCACCTAAAATTGTAGAATTAAAAGTAGTTTTCATTTATAATTTCAAAGGTTATCTAAAATTGTTCGGTCGTTGATAAACGATAATTGCCAAACATTAAGAGTTTATAGAACCGTAATTGTTTGCTTATTAGAAAACAGTGCTGTTCAAATTGATTCACGTAAATCATTAAGCTTAAGGTAGCACGCGTAGAGCATGTGTGCGTAAAGCAATTTAAACTTTAAATATTGGGAAGCTTCAAAAGTCATTTGGATTCCCATGAAATTTTAAATGAAGTCCATTGAGTTTTTGATGCACAGCCTCTCTCTCTCTTCGTTAAAGTTAATTTTATCGCTCGTGCGGGGTTTTTAAGGTTCAGAAATGACAGGTGTACTTTTTGGGAAAAGTCTCGAAAACGTCAAGTTGCAGACCCTATATGCAGTAACACTGCTCCCCACGGAGGCCTTCGAACGTCGTTGCTCTGGGTAGTGACAATCAACGACATCCGCCTGGAACGCTAGGAAAACGGTGAGGCTGGTCTCTTTTCTTCAACAATAAGTGAAACCTTAGAGGGATCATCGTTCAGGTTATACTCGTTGGCATCGAAAAGTGCGCTTAGGACCAGCAATACAACGTCAGAGAAGTACGTAGCGTTCAGCGAGCAGCTTGTGTAGGTACTGTAGGATCCATTAAGTCGTGTCCTATCGATGCACATAAATTGATTCTGCGCACATGCGCAATATCTACAATCAGACTCAAAGATTCAGGATTTTGAAGTTCCAGCAATATCGACATAGTGGTACTCTTGACAACTCAGAATTAAGGCAAAATTCCTACGTTAGCTTTCAGGTGAAGTACCCCTCTAGACGGGAATGGGTAATCAAGGAGAATTCAGCTGGAATCTATACACAAGAGTCCATGATGGAATACGGTATGAACGAGGGTGTACTCTCTGAAATTCTGGACATCTCTCCTAAGCGGAAGTAGCCATAGGAAAAAATACGGCAATGTGTGAGCTGATGAATTGGCAAAGACTGGGACATCTCTTGGAGGGTCCGAAGCCGAGTCAATAAACCGTCCAGTCGTAGTTAAAAAGCGGGAAATACACTTATAATTCATATATATGGCTAAGTCACGATCAAACAACCGCTCTACGAAAAATTAAAACTGAAAACCTCGTAATAAGTGTAGAAAAATAAGTCCTTGATGAAAATGCGGCTAGAGGGGACATCCCGCACAATCCTCGCTGCCGTAGATCAAGCAGAAATTTAAGAAAAAAAAAACAGTTTTGATGAGAGTATCGCGTTGATTTTTAATATTTTTTTTTTTTGCCTGGCGGTGTTATGCATTGTCCCCCATATAAAATATGCTCGACAAATTAATTTGTATGGGAGAAAATGCTTAGCACCATCAGCAAAAAAAAATATATATATTAAAAATCAACGGGATTTTCTAGCATCTTGAAATTTGCACTTTAACCTACTAAAATTTTATGAGCTACAAAACTGCATACCCTAAAGTTTTCTAAAAATTCTAAATAAAAAGTTTAAAATTTTTGGGTGCAAATGTTAAAGTTTTTTGAATTTTCATAATGTTTGTACGAGGTTTGGAATGTGGATTTATGTGGGGTTGGTAAGGTAAAGTGCTAGAATTTTATAAAAAAATGTAAACATTAAATAAACAAAAGAAAAATAGCCAAAACTAGACAAAGTGTCACTTGACTTAATCAGCTGACCACAACTGTATATGTAAGTGTCAATCTATTCTATAATCAATTAAAAGCAAATCTCCTAAGTTCAAAAGAAGCACAGTGTTTCATTTAGGCATTTTTCTTAGGTCTTCTGATTATTCTCAATTTCTAAACGCTACAACATTATCAATACTTCCCAGGACCATTTCTGAATCTCAACAGATTTTCTGCATACATAGTTCTTATTAACTACGTATGTACGGGTAATATAGAAGTTATCAAGGTGAATTTCGATATATCGATGTACGTAGTTATGGGGAGAAGGAGATGCAATTTACAAATGTATATACCTACATACATATATCAATATATATGCATGCGATCTCATTTGAAAATACGGGTAATATTTCTATAATTTATAATCTCTCATTAGTGCGAGTATCAGTCGAGGTAAAGCATACATGATTACAGGAACACCTCATCATTAGACGAAAAATGAACATTTTATTACATCTCATACATACTCATTCAGACATCATAAAAAAGACGCTTTTTTATATACGAATACAGTGGACTCTATTCGCATTTGGCTAGTTTGATGACTGCTTAGTTGGTAGTCGTCTAAAGTCTGTAGTCTGTAGTCTGTTGCAGCCCGTCCGTCTGTGCGTTTGCTTGTCGCTTCGCTCGGTGGCTCGCTCGATTGTCACAGCAGTCGCACTCATTTATAAACGCCTCGAAAAACACTTTTGAGTAATCAGCAAACGCAACGTGCTGCAGGAGTGACAAGGGGAGGAGGTGCACAATTTTATTAAGGCGGCAATAAAAAATATACACAAATTGCGAGGACACATTTCAGCATTGAGAAGAGGCGTATGGAACAAAGTGTTGTTTTTTATGAGTGAGTGAAGGGCTAAAAAGAGCGTTCGAATAGCAGACAATGAGTTTTAAGAGATTACTTGCAGAGATTGAGCTTGCGATGCGGCTCTTGCGGCCAGTGGGAGTGAGGTCGAGATGAGAGATAAATAGTAAGTACCTAGTTCGGCAGCCCTTCCATTTATTACACGTTCATATAATAATAATGTTCAAACGTTCATACATACAAACAATTTATGCAGGTGATTACGCACATACATACATACATATGTCCACATTTACTTAATATTTGTAAAGATTATGCACCTCTGTACATCCATATATACGTATGTAGTACATATATATGTATATTGTCACAGTACTTACCTTGAGCAAAAGTGAGTCCAAACTCCGACTAAGTTTTCATTGAAAAATATTTGAGCTTAAGCTCCTACTTCGTTAGTACTACAGCAATAGAGGGCCTTATGCATAAAAGGTGAGCCTAAGCTCCGATTCGATTTTCTGTACAAATTCCAGACCTTGAGCTTATTTCATCACTGCAAAAACTTAGGCTAACTTTTTATGTTTACATGAAGCCCAATGTCTGAGCTTAAGCTTCATGGGCCAGCATTTGATTGGTCGCCGTGAATAACGTTGTTGTAAGCGACAATATTATAATTTTGCGGAAATAAAAAGAAAATATGTTTAATGACGCAAATACATTCATAAGCTCATTTGATTTGGTTTTCTACTTTTTCGGTACAGGAGTATTCAATAAACTTACACTTAAAGTATAAAATATTTATGTAAAATGTACATTTTACATTTATATCGTTAAAGTTGAAGAAACTTGTTCTAAGAAAATTGTCGCTTACATCGTTATTCGTGGCGACTATTCATTTGATGAATCTGTTAACTGCGACGGCCTTTCAATGACCTCACAATGAGCATTCTGCCATTTTGGCGTAGTTGTAATTGTTGTAGCGGCTTCTTAGCCCCGCCTAGATCAGCTAATCCTTCAATCGTTGTCATCAAGCTCAACTAATAGGATTCGACCTAGCTTTAGGAATATGCTGTACTTCAATTAAGTCGAACCAAAGGAAGAGAACTGATGGCATTGGCCATGATGACAATTTTGGTACTAAAAACTGAAAGAAAACATGGCTTACCTCGTAAGGTGCTTACCTACGCAACGATAACAAGGCCGACGATCAATAAAAGTGTGTTCAAGAACCTCTGAAACTTAAATAGAATTTATTTGCTAGTATTTAATTAAAACGCTTTACACTCTGCTACTTTTCTGTCTCACATCGTGATTTTTTCTTGCTCCAAGCATCGCCAACTTCATATTTACTTGATGCTACTGACTTATTAAAAAATAACTTGCAACATGACCAAGTACCTACCAATCTGTATGTACATACCACACTTCACATTTTGCATAGCTCACCGCCACGTGACTTCCCAAGTAAAGCGCCTATGTTTACAATTCACTTAGAGCTGGCTTTAACGCTTAGCCGCTACGCTTAGCGTTGAAAGACAGGATTGTTGTGGCAAGCAAACTTTTATTTGTCCGGTACGAAAACTTGTTTCAACGGGCAATTTCAATCTGTGACAAATTGTTATTAAACAAAGAACAAACGGCTAGAGCCAACAACATCTGAGCGATGTGAGTGTAAGCGTAGGTTGTGCGCGTCTCTACCTTGAACTCTTAAAAACTGCCTTTGCTCTTTCGGCGCTTGACGTTCAACTCTTGGGAGCGCTCTTTAGTGAAAAGTAAAAATACAAAACCAACACTGGTTGAATTTAGATTAGTGAGAGACGGGTAATAAATAAATACTCGCACAATTGGGTCTGGGGCTTAACCAGGCGTTTCGTTTTGTTTGCCTTCGTTAACAGAACTTAATAAATTTGTATGTTTATATTGTGATTGGATATCGTTTTTTCTTGGGTTCCTAAAATCTGTTATTATTTTCATTCTTACAAACTGCTCATATGGCTACCCCAATCACAGATATCTATTGGCCATAAGCATTTTTCGTGACCGCCTCATTTCACTTGCCTTCTCGTTGCTGCCCTCCCCCTCGCGCTCAAAGAATCCGTCGTAGAGTACAAAATGATTCGCCTGCGGTATTGTGCGCTCCAGACCGTAATGTTTCTTGAGGAATCCCAACAGCTTTTCGGACGGCCGATCCACCGAGCATTTGACGGGCACCCACTTCTCCTCGCTCAACATGGTTTGAAAGAGTTTCTTCCCCAAACCTGTGCGCTGCCGGGAATCGTGTATATAAAAGTCCAGTATGCAGGGAGCTTTGTCGACTTTTCTTGTTTGACCCAGTTCATCAAACAGATACAAATCTTTGGTGCCGATCTTTAGCAAACCGATGACTTCATCGCCACGCCCATCGCAGTCGCCCACATCGGCCATTAGATAGACGACTTGATTGTCGGACGAGCGAAGTTTCTGTGCAGTTGTAACAGGTTTAGTCAGATTTTGTGCCACCGCGGAGAGTTGTCCCAGATGATC